CATGGCATCTGGATCGTCGTCCATGAGTCCCTGAGCCATTGGTATAGTAGTCTCCCCATTCATAGTTTCTTCCGGTCCTGGTTTTCCAAATCCGGGAACCTGTGTATTGATTTTGTTTTCCTCCATGTGCCGATACCAGTCCCGAGCATTGGGAGTCTTCAGCTCAGGCTGCCGGCTATCTGCGATCCGTTTCTGCTCTTGCGCCGCCCGAGCTCTGGCTCTCGTTTCAATAATAGCCTTCCGAACACTATCCTGCTCCTCGGGCACCGTCAATGAACTTGGGATATTGTAGAGTACTAGTTGGTTATTGCCTGCCAGTTCGCCCTCGCTGTTTGCTAGTACCATGGGCGGAATGCGCGTTTCGAGGAGGTGCTTCTGGATGTCTGGTAGGAAGACGAGCTTGCCATCGTCCGAGGACTCGCTGTCTGATAATTCGGCATCTAGGTCGTATATGTAGACTTTGTGCTTCGTGTTGTCCAATTGCATCACATCATCGTCTTGCGATTGTGGTCGCGCAGGGGATTTCGGCTTCGCGTTGTTGTTGGGCGTGGGATGTTCCACTGGCACGTAGAGTTTCTCGCCATTGCGCTCTGCCAAAAAGTAAACATAAGCCATAAATCCTTAATGCAGATAGAGAATTGGAATACGAACCTAGATTTAACAAGCTGAGCCGTTTATGCAATCGCTCGTTGTCTTGCGTTTCCGCCTTTCTCTTCCTAATCTTGCTGTTCGCTTGGACTCGATCCATCGTTTCCCATCCCTCCTCTCCTCCCGACACACTTCAACACCGTGCAACCCAAACCACTCCCTCCAATCAAGCAGAAACAAGAGTTGGCAGACCGTCACAGCAAGGAGTAAGAGGTCGTAAGTTTTCGCCTAGGACACCTATCAGGACCGGGAATATTGGACAGGAAGGAGAGAGAGAGGGCGCGGATGAATGATTTGCGAAGAGTCAGTTTGAGAGTCCGCCTGAGTCACCTTCGACTTCGACGGTTTTCTACAAGTACCACCACCGCCAGGAGCAGCAGTACCGAGCAACGACGCCCGCTACCGACGCGATTTATTACATTTTTTGACCGCACGCGCGCAACAACCACCATTCCAACCTGCACCCGCACAGTCGGATCTAGAAACTTCTCGAAGACGATCGCAAGGATGGCGCAGGAAAAATGGACTGCTCCGGTGGTCAGGAAGACCTTCTTGGAGTTCTTTGAGGGCAAGGGGCACACGATTGGTGAGTAGCGGGGTAGTTTTTTGCACTCACGGAGGGGGGGAGATGGTTTTGGGACAACTCACAACGCAGATGAGTGCTCAATTGGAGATGGGGGATGATGTTTATATTCTCTATTCTTTCATTGAGGGGTTTCAGAAGCATGTAGCTAACGTGCGGTGTCTGCAGTTCCCTCATCCTCTGTCGTACCCCACAATGACCCTACCCTCCTCTTTGCCAACGCTGGTATGAACCAGTTCAAGCCTATTTTCCTGGGGACGATAGGCCAGACGGATGATATGGCTCAGTTGAAGAGAGCTGTAGACACGCAGAAGGTGACGCACATTGGTTGTTGCATAAATGGAGGGGCATGCTGACCGTTTTGCAGTGTATTCGTGCTGGAGGAAAGCATAACGTGAGGATATACTACACCATTGGAAGGACAAGGCTGATACGGGTACTTTATAGGACTTGGATGATGTTGGAAAAGACAGTTACCATCATGTTAGTGTGCATTGCTACAAACTTGGGGAATTTGGCTAATGTGACTCAGACTTTCTTCGAAATGCTGGGCAACTGGTCCTTTGGCGATTACTTCAAGCAAGGTGCTATTGAGATGTCATGGGAGCTTCTTACGAAAGTCTATGGCCTGGATCCGGATCGTCTCTATGTCACATACTTCGAGGGCGACGCTTCTGCCGGATTGGAGCCAGATCTGGAGGCTAAGGAATTGTGGAAGAAGGTTGGTGTTGCAGACGATCACATCTTGCCTGGAAACATGAAAGACAACTTCTGGGAGATGGGTGACCAAGGACCTTGTGGACCCTGCAGTGAAGTTCACTATGATAGGATAGGCGGTGGCCGCAATGCTGCCCACCTGGTTAATATGGACGACCCGAACGTGCTGGAGATCTGGAATAACGTCTTCATTCAATATGATAGACAGAAGGACAGGACGCTGAAGACTCTACCAGCAAAGCATGTCGATACTGGCATGGGTTACGAGAGATTGGTATCAGTGCTGCAAGACAAATCTTCCAATTACGACACTGATGTCTTCCACCCTCTGTTCCTCAAGATTCAAGAAGTCACTGGAGCTAGAACATATACCGACAAGTACGGTAAAGACGATGTTGATGGCATTGATACCGCATACCGTGTTATTGCTGATCACATTCGTCTGCTAACCTTCGCTATTTCGGATGGAGGTGTGCCAAACAACATCGGCAGAGGATATGTAGTTCGACGAGTTTTGCGCCGTGGCTCTCGATACGCCCGAAAGTATTTCGATGCGGAGATTGGTAGCTTCTTCTCCAAGATTCTCCCCGCTCTGGTTGAGCAAATGGGTGAGCAATTCCCGGAGATTGTCGAGAAGCAGGGTGATGTCAAGGAGATTCTGGACGAAGAGGAAGAGGCATTCGCTAGGACACTTGATCGTGGTGAGAAGCAGTTCGAGAAATACGCTGCTCTGGCTGTCAAGAACGGTGCCAAGAAGCTCTCTGGTGCGGATGTTTGGCGGTTATACGACACTTTTGGATTCCCAGAGGACTTGACTAAGATTATGGCTGAGGAGAGAGGCCTGGAGACTGATGATGCGGAGATCGAGATTGCAAAGGAGACTGCTCGTTTGGCTAGTATGTCTGTCAAGGAGGCATCACACACCTTTGCCAAGTTCGACGTACATCAAATCGCTGAACTGGACAAGATGGGTGTACCAAGACCGAACGACGATGCCAAATTCTTGAAGGGAGACAGTACTGCAAAAGTATCACTCGTCTATGATGGAAAGAGCTTCTTGAAGTCAACCGAGGGTCTTCCGTCCGATAAGCCATTTGGTATTCTCCTGGACAAGACGAATTTCTATGCTGAGCAGGGAGGTCAAGTTGCCGACACTGGCAAGATCATCATTGATGGTGTTGCTGAGTTCAAGGTGCTTGATGTCCAGGCTTATGGAGGATACATTGTCCACAATGGTTACCTGGAGTATGGCCAACTGAAGGCTGGAGATGAGATCATCTGTGAATATGATGAACTCCGCAGACAACCTATCCGCAACAACCACACTGGAACCCATATTCTCAACCATGCTCTTCGGGAACACTTGGGCGAAGATATCAACCAGAAGGGATCGCTTGTTGACCAAGACAAGCTAAGATTCGACTTCTCTCACAAGGCTCAAGTCTCTCTGCCTGAAATCAAGAAGATTGAGGACTCCTCCAATGCGTACATCAAGCAGAATTGCGAGATCTACTCCAAGGAGGTAGACCTCGATGTTGCTAAGGGTATTGAAGGTGTTCGCGCTGTTTTCGGAGAGACATACCCAAACCCAGTTCGTGTCGTTTCTGTCGGTGTGCCTGTTGATGAGCTTTTGGAGAACCCAACAAATCCAAAGTGGAGAGAAGTCAGTGTCGAATTCTGCGGTGGAACTCATGTTGAGAAGACTGGTCTCATTAAGGATCTCGTTATCGTCGAAGAGAGCGGTATCGCCAAGGGTATCCGTCGTATCATCGCCTATACCGGCGATGCTGCACACGAAGTCCAAAGACTGGCCATCGAATTCAACAAACGAATCGAGACCCTAGAGAAGATGCCACATGGCCCAGAGAAGGAAGTTGAGGTCAAGTCTGTACAGAACGATTTGAACCAACTCACCATCTCATCCTTGACTAAAGAAGAGCTCAAGACACGTTTTGCAAAAGTTCAGAAGGGTCTTTTGGATGAGCAGAAGAAGAAGCAGAAGGCTGAATCGAAGACTGCTCTCGACACTGTCACTGGCTACTTTGCTGAGAACAAGGACAGCAAGGCTTACATTAGCCAACTGCCTATCTCTGCTAATTCCAAGGCTATTGCGGATGTCATGAACCATTTCAAGTCCAAGGCTAAGGACAAGTCTGTCTACCTACTCGCTGGTTCTGAGACTGAGATTGTTCACGGTGTTTATGTTGGCACTGTATGTTCCCCCTTCCATCATTTCCCATCTTAGCTAACCCTTTTCTTAGGACCACGCCTCAAAAGGCGTCACAGCCGAACACTGGGCCGCTTCAGTCTCCGAGATCATCGGCGGCCGCTCAGGAGGAAAGGAGCCAACGAGGACGGGTCAGGGCACCAACCCTGATAAGATCGGAGAGGGAGTTGCCGTTGCGGAGAAGTGGCTTGCTGAGAAGCTGAAGTGAGGATGGGGTGATGTGAGGTGAGATGAGGCGTTATACCCGGGAAATTCATAGGTAGTTCGTTGAATGAAGTGCGATGGATGGGGGCATGGATGGGTTTGGGATCATTTTGTCAGGAACTTGTAGCTTGTAGAGTGGAATCGTGTTGTATCTGCTTTGGAGCTGGGTGGATAGCTTGCTTTTAGAGGGAATTTATGATTCAGTGGAATGGTTTTTCGAGTGAATTGGTACCTTGAACCTTTGCATCTCCACCGGAGTCAACTCGTCCAGCCGATCCCTTCCGTGAGGAGGTTTCTAGATCTCGTGAGGCTGGAATATATCAAATGAGGATAGATGTATTCACAGAAGTAACACTAAAAAACCTCTACCAGTCTCTATTACGTCGTAGGTAGCATTGGAAATATCCTTTTACTCCATATTAACTATACAAAGAGAAACAACCCACATACACCGAGATCCACCTATGCAAACGAACCTACCTAGCCAACCCACTTCTAGGCCGGCACCACCTCGGGTACACAAACCGAAATTTAATTTGCAAACAGAATAAATTCCTATCATGCCCATGTAACCAAATAAGCAATTTTCCACCACAACATCTGATAAGTTCCTGTTAATCAGGGGATGTGACGAAGTGGTATCGTGCTTCATTTGCATTCTGAATTCTAGTCAGTAAATAGCTACTAGATGACGGTTTACAAAACTTGAAGAAATCCTGGGTTCGATCCCCAGCATCTCCAAATTTCATAGCAGCACATTGGAAGGGTGTCTTATTTATTTTAAAAATTTTTGAGAGTTACGTGTACTTTTTTCATCTTCAGTGAGTGGTAGAGAGATATTTTCCCGTTTATTCTATCTACCTGCTTCCTCAAGTGGGAGCGACTTTTATAAAATCTGAGGGTAAAAGTACAATGAGATTGCAACCGCTTAAAAATCTATTCAAATGTTCTTTCCTTCTTCCTTTCTCTAGAAAATCCGTTTGTGATTTTCCGGTGGGGCCTCTTTTCTTTTCTCTTAAGTGTACAAGCGAGAGTGGAGTTGGCATTCCTGTCTCTGTTCATGTTTATTTTTCGCTTCACTAGCCTCAGGGGATCCTATTCGCTTACAATATAAATAAATCACCTGCCTTTCGTTTGTCTGGGCAGGTACATTCAACTCGTCCTCGTCTTCTCATAGTCTTTCAATCAGTCAGACAAAAATATGTTAGCTGTAGTATTTGTTTTCGTGTGCTCGGGAATGAGTGTCTTTTCGGTTGTGGAACTTGTGGGCTTGTAGTTGCGGGGTTTTATTATGCTTGAGAAGGCAGTGAGTGGTACAGCGATGGTCGCTTGAGGACCTACTAGATATCTACGCTGGCTGGTCATCCTCCCAGCACAGATCGAGACCCTGAAAGTATGGAGTTAGTCGCCTCGTGTCAGCCATCAATGAATACAGGTGTTAACCTTCAGCTTTCACCTGTCTGGAACCCAGGAGCTAATGTATACAGTTGCTAGCTTTGATAGGAAACAGAGCGCTGTTCATTTATTAGGAAGTTCAAATGGTTTTCTTGTTTTGTTGGTGTTAGTGAATTCGAGGAGGGTGAGATATTTTGAAGATATTTTAAAGATATAATGAAGTTGCTAGCGAGTACCGGCGATTATGTTCATCATGTCGAGGGCGGAGATTAAACGCAGCTTGTGGAGGAATATCTCCTCGCTCCAAAAAAAAAAGGGCTTTTCCAACGGGGACAAAGGGAACAGGATCACGCTTGAGTTCTGTGAAGAGTATCTACGGCGAATAAAAGCTATCGGGTAAATCTGGCCTAGTGAATGGAGGCATGTGTATAATAATAATTTTTTTTGTTGAATTTAGTCGGGCACCAGTAGATCTATTGTCGCCGACTTTTGTCTAACGTGTAGGAAATACCCTTTCCATCCATTTACAAAGAATCCTTGGGCAGAGTAGCGACCTTTTCTTGGAAAAGCTTCTCAGCCTTGGACCAGACAGGATGTGTTCTCCATTCCTTAAGATGTAACAGACTTGGCAACAAATCCTTGCTGAAAGCCTCACTTGCCTCTCTAGGAAGCAGACTTGGCAAGTGATCGATGCTAATCACTGACAGCCTTGGCTCACCCTTGACCTCAACTGCTACAGTTGGCTCCGTGAAGGTTGTGGCGACGGTGTAGACTGGGATGGGGTTGTTTGGGTTGGTGGTATCGGCGCTAACGTCGCAGATGACAGAGAGCTTGCGGTAGGGGGTATCGAGGCTCTTCATATCGACGAAGTTGGGGATCTTGGACATGAGGTATATGCAGTTGACGAAGATATCGCTCTCGACAATCTCGGGGAATGGTCCACCCTTAGCCGTCTCGGCCATATCCCACTTCAACACATTCTCAGTTGGCACGCCGGCTCTTAAGCAGAGGTCCACAGCACCGCTACCACATCGTCCGAGAGCACCAATCACTAGTACGCGGGGATCCTTGCCGGTCTTCTCCTTTCCTGCTGCGATTGCCTTCTTGACGTCTACGATCAGGGCGTCTTCGTTGGGGTAGCTAGAGACGCTTGGGAAAGGCTCTGAGGCGGGGTGTGTGAGTTGCCATGCCCATGTCTCGAGAGCAAGAGCTGCGCCGGCAAAACCAGCATGGTATCCGAAGGCAGCGACTCTGCGGTTCTTGTCGTCTGTGAGGAATTCGAGATCGAGGAGTGTGCCACCGCCGCGGGGGAATCGAGACAGGACCTTCTCCCAACCGCCTTGTTGCTTGTAGCAATGGGCGAATTGAACATGGATATGCTTGAGGGGGACTAGAATACTGTGAGATATTGCAATTGGGGAAGTGAGAAGTTGTTTTGCGTACATTCTTCAACGGGAAGCTCCTTCAGCCCAATAATGATGTGATCTGTAGGTGCCTCGCGCCATGTATTCTCTGGTACCAATGTAGCTCCAACGGCTTCAAACTCGCTATCCTCGAAGATACGCTCTGGACTCCGCTCGACATTGACAGTGTAGCCAGCTTCTATGAGGGCCTTTGCGGTAGTCGGTGTGAGGGCGGATCGGTGCTCGAGGGCCTTGCCCACTGCCGAACGCATTAGTAACGGTCGTAGCATGATTTTTTCATGACATTGAAGCCTTACACTCGGAACGAAGATGGAGAGTAGTTCCTGACATTGTGATGAGTTTGTCAATGGGAGTTGAATTGAGTGTTGGGAGTATATTTCAGAATCTTGGTGCTTGAAAGACATCCCACCATTTTGTTTTGTTTTCTGCAGTGACTCACCGCCGAGGAATTTCAGGGGTAAGGATTTTCCCAGCCGACATCGGTTTCTCCTTGGGCAAGAAGATCACCAATATTCCGAGTTGTTTATTTTCTCCGGAGTTTTTCTTTCTTTCCAGGGTTGCAAATTTGCTGCTCATTTTCATTGGGAAAGTGAGTCAAGGTACCTACTGACTGTCGGGTCACTTCCAGTCTGTGGGGACGGGAACATTGGGGTCGGGGCGGGTCAGACAACTAGGATGTGAAGCGGATCAAACTTGGTCCTTCATCAACACTTCGACTCCGAGGTTTGGTCTCGGATTGATTACTCTTTGAGTTGGACTAGTGGGTGTTGTGACACGTAGGTATTCGATTGGCACCAACTTCATTCAGAATGCCACTTGGATTTGTTGATAGGTCGTTTGCAAAATGCCCACGGAGTACGGAGTAAGAAACCCTCAATGTCTATTTCAAGAACGGGATATATCCTCAAAACCTTCAAAACACACATTGTGCAAGCCACGCAAATCTAATCAGAGCATGTCTTCCACTGAAATCCTCCAGAATGTCATCGAATGTCACCATCCCGACATTCGACTGCCACTGGACTCAATTAAACCGTCAAGTGGCAGAAGGTGAAGCCCGTGCTGGTGACGGCAAGTTCTGAAGCTCGTTTCGTCGTCGTTTCTCAAACAACCTTAACTGGCTTGGCGAGGCAAACGAGATCTAGATCCAGATACGGCTGGGATTACTCGTGCAGATACGACGATCTCCCGCTGTTTCTTTTTTTGCGGTGGAATGGGTCAAGTCCGGGAAATTGGTCCTTGTTTGACCCGCTGCTCTGTTTAAACCTAATCTGATACCCCAGGCCGGGTTGTGTTCCATACTGTACATACTGTACCTGACCAGGACTGTATATAGAATCCGTGGGTGCTCTTGGAATGCGTTCGTCGAATCTTGCTGGCACGTTATCTGTCTCCTCAGATCCCGTTAGGGTATCTTGAGTCTTACTTCCTACATTGTTACTTTACTTTCTATATGTTTATCATCACTGCTATTGTTATTCGTTTATTCCGATAGCCGCAGGCATGGCTTTTTCTTCGAGATTGCCTGGTGCTCTCGCCGTTCTTTTATACCTTCAATGTTTTTGTAATGGAGTGCAAGCGCAGAATGAAACTCTACCCGGGTTCGGAGATACAGTACAAGTATTGGGAGGTGTAAGTCTTACTTTCAGTCATGAAATATGAATAATTGATAGACGTAAACTGATGAAAACAGATGGAACGGACAGACCAAGATTTCCAGGACGGCCTAGCCCTCGACATCCTCTCTCCCAAACCCAGGACACTCGTCGTAACACAGAACAAATCGCCTCTGGCGGCAATCTTTATGACAGGAGCAACAGGCGCTCCCTTCGTCGCCGTCTCGAACTATTCCTATATCATCAAGACGAACGAGACAGCCAATGACCTGATCGCGAAGATCGAGATTCCCTACGACCCAGTCGAACTCCAGCAGCAAGGTCTCCAAGAAGCCAACACCTTTGTCGCCACGCTAGCTTCTGATGGAAAGAGCTGGGTAGTCAATGATCAGACTCGGAATGTGCATCGCAGCGAGAACAACACCCGAATCGTGAAGATGACGTCCATTGAGGGAGAATACATACTCGTGGCTCGTAAGACCGTCGATACTAGTAATGTCTTTGTACAGTATGGCCAAGGAGCGACCAGGACGGTCAACTTGACGGCTGGACCTGGCCTGCAATGCGCTGAGTTCATTGACGGGATGCGATTTACGGTCCAGACGAACGTGGATCTGAAGATGAATATTGAGATCAAGGACGGCGTCAACCCAGGGACTTTGCCGCCGAATACGGTGTCTCTGAATTCGTTCATGTGGATTGTCAATACCAGCGTGCCAATGGAGAGGGTCAATGCCGAGATGCTCGTTCCTTGTTCGTTTCCCTTTCTCTATTTCTTTCCTTTTGCTACCCACAGGCTAATTGATTCATCCAGTCAACAGAATGATGCTTGCAGCAATGAGACCCGACGGATCATCTCCTTCGACCATGTTGACGGTCGGCAGACGAGCCTTGAACGCTACCAGTGGCCAGTTTTTGCCTTTCAATCCAGATGTGCAGTATGTAAGGGAATTACCAGAGGATAAGGTGGTTGTCCCGCAAGTGAATCAGCTGGATGGACAGTATGTAATTCTCGTTACACAGCCCAAGGCGATTGGGGAGAGTAAGTTGGAACCATATTAATCAATAGCCGAAGCGGATGGGTGCTAATGATACCAATAGCTACTCCTCATGCTGGAATCGTGAGGCCTGGGAGAAGGGATTTGGAGAGGCCGTCGAGGTTGAGAAATAGGGGTAGTATTGATTCTAGGTATAGGGCAGCTGTATGAATTGTCACATTATCAGATGGTTCCAAAAATTCCATGAAGCTCAAATGTTGTAAAATTGAATTTGCAACGGGTATCTCTAACCTATGTCCTCCACTGCT